TTCAGGAGGAGACCATAAGTTCTAGTCTCGTCTTAGGTATGTAGCCAGCTGGGTGAACTTAGGCCAATCATTCTCTATCAAGGCCTACTAAGGGAGCAATGGCAACATACTTCTTTTTTTTGGGGGGGGAGGCGGCAGGGGGAATTTGATCTAGTAGTGGTTAAAGCTAGAAACAAGGAAACTGAGTTCTAGTCCTGTTTTAGGCAGAAAAGCCAGCTAGCTAACTTTGGGTCAATCACCAGGTCTAGTCCCACCTTAGGCATGAAAGCTGGTTGGAAGCCTTAGGAAGGAGACAATATTAACCTTGTTTTGAAAAGCTTCTTCTCCAGTAACATTGAATTGCTAACTAGGGCATACAAAACCTTTGCCAGACCAATTCTCGAATACAGCTCGTCGGCTTGGAACCTGCCCTCTATATCGGACCTTAACACAATTGAGTGGGTTCAGAGATATTTCTCGAGAAGAGTACTCCACTCCTCCACTCACAATAGAATTCCCTATATGCCTCTATGCTCGAAATACTGGGCCTGGACAATCTGGAACTGCGCCACCTGCGGTCCGATGTAAGCACAGTTCACAAAACTGTCTGCTACAACGTCTTGCCTGTCGACGACTTCTTCAGCTTCAATCACAATCATACACGGGGCAAACGACCGATACAAACTCAAGGTAAACTGCTCCAAACTCGATTGCAGAAAATACGACTTCAGCCACGGAGTGGTCAACGCCTGGAACCCAACTCCGTGGTTACAGCCTCAACCATGGCACAGCTTCAACCTCAAACTGTCTACCGTGGACCTCACCCCATTCTTAAGAGATCCTTCAAGGAGGCGTGGTTAAGTGCACCAGCGTGCCTACCGTCCAGTAGTGGGATTCAAACATTTTTACTACTGGTTCTATGGGCATGGCTTGGTGGGCGTGGCAGAGGAAGGATCCTGCAAAATCCCATTCCTTCCCAACTCCTGGGGGAAGTTTACTCCAAAATCTCCATTCCCTCCCCACCCCACCAACCTGCTTTCCAGACAGTATGATGTTCATTAAGCACATATTGAATGTAAAGAGAAAACCAAATAAAAGAAGACCCAGCCGATCAGCTGGTACTCAATGGGAGGCGGAGAATAGATGGGCCAGTCAGAGGTGGGATTTGCCGGTTCTCTGAACTACTCAAAATTTCCGCTACTGGTTCTCCAGAACTGGTCAGAACCTGCTGAATGCCACCTCTGCTACCCTCCCTGTCTTACTGTCCCCATTGACCTGCATTTACTCCCTTTGTTCATGTTTATGTTCATATAATGTTATCTTGTACATGTTTGATGAACAAATAAAATAAAATAAATAAATACTTCTGAAAAACCTTGCCAAGAAAATGCCCAGTATTGGACACAACTGAACATAAGAGAGAGAGAGAGAGAAAAAAAATATCCCACTACAGAACAGCTACTCAAATTCTCTTTCCTGAACTAAGTTGGGGCCTTAGCCTTGAGGACCCTATACCTGTGGTGGCAAACCTATGGCACACGTGCCGAAAGGGACACGCAGAGCTGATTGTCGGGTATTTGGCACGCATGTGCAGGGGCGTGGTAGCGTGGACACACTCACGCATGTGCAGAAGCACATGGGAAGCACGCAGGAGGCATGGGGGGGGCGTGCGCATTGCTTTCTGGGTGAGGGCATGTGAGCACGAGCATTGGCAAGCGTGTGTGCCATTATTGGCACGGGAGCCCAAAAGGGATTAGCCACCACTGCCCTATACACTGAGAAAGGAATACAGGAGAGAGATTTCAATGCAATCTATGAGAGCTTTGACACAGAACAGGGGGGACGATCTGATCACTCACCACAGAGCCTTCTTCCTTCCCTTCAGGTAATTTTCATAGATGATCCCTGCGATGGTTCGGCCTTTCCCGACGCCTGCACCGTCTCCTATCAGGAATCCGGCTCTCTGACCATTGGGAAGCAAGTTTTCGTGTTCCTAGAAATCCAGCAGAAAGGAATCCAATGGAGGAATCGAGCCAAGAGGCACTGCAGGAGCAACTCCGCAGCCTCTGCCAAGCTTATGACCCTATCTTAGCTGTGTTTCATCCAGACCCGCCCAAAGCCACTCCACTCCGTGCGTACCTGGCAGGCGTAAATTATGGCTTCCAGCTGCAGGGCAGAGAGCGACCCGTTTTCGGCAATCGATTCGGGGAGAGAGAGGACATAGGTGATATCTGGAGGAGGGACGCTGGAAAGCGTGCTGGTTTCTACCACTCGGTCAGGGTGGTGCTTCCCAATTTTCGCTGTAAGATGAAGCAAAAAGGGTTTCTCAGCTTCTCTGGAGAAAATTGAAGTTCTCCGAAAGGGTCAAAGGGCATATTAGACCAAACAAGCCAACAATTCTATTAAAAACTCTATTTGAAGGGGGAATTTTGGGGCCCTAAGCCAGTTTTCATTCAGCAAGGAACGGGGGATTTGTTGACTTGTAAGAATGATGTCTAAAAATTGACTTTTGACAAGCAAAGTCGATGGGGAAGCCAGATTCACTTAACAACGAGGTTACGAACTTAAGCACTGCAGTGATTCGCTTCACAACTGTGGCAAGACTAGTCGTAAAACAGGGCAGAACTCACCTAAACAACTGTTTCGCTTAGCAGCAGGAGAAATTCTGGGGCTAGCTGTGGTCGTAAGTCAAGGACTACCTCCACCAGTATGTAACCAATGAAATGGTAAAACAGAACAGGTTATGAGCAACCTGCTGTCTAATTGATTTCATACCCAAAGAAAACTATTCCAGTATCTATGATACCTAAAGGATTTTTCTTCAGAACTGGTACTGTGGGAGACAGCAGGTACTTTACTTCATACTTTATTGTCATTTTTTTGTCATTCTTTTACTGCGAGCACACCGGCCCATGTTAAAAATGAAATTCTGTTGCTTGATCATTGTCCATATTGAGTTGATCTCTGGCCACCCTTGCCTTCCAGTCAGAGATAGTCTCTGTTTGTTAACTGCCTTATTCTAAGACTTGAAATCTGCCCAGGAGCCACCAATGGTTTCTCCCTAAGTGCTAGCTAGGGCATTAGCTGCAAGGGTCAACAGCCTCTTCAGTCATGCCCAGAAGACAAACAAAGATTTAAGACGGGAGGAGGCAGGAGTTTACCAAATCAGGAAGTCAGGGATTAAACAGTATTCTCCGCCTCATCCGTGGCTGCTTTGCACAGGGAAAGCTCACTAAGATTTTAGCCCTCCTGAATCCCCTCGTCCTTCCAGATAGAGAAAATCACCCTTGATAGCTGGGACAATTTTTAAGGAGGTGTGATGGAAAGTAGTCTGGATGGGACGCATTCTGGAGGAGCAAGAAACAACTCCTTTCAGACAGATTGTGTGGGAGAAAAGAGGGTGAGGACAGCTCCTCCCTAACAGCCCCCAGTGTATACCTTTTAAAGGAGGAGTTAGCATGTTTTAGTTGGGAGGGGGGGCAAGATTCTGTCTACAGGTGAGGAACAACAAAGAAACCTGCTAGGAAAAATCACAGTGTCTGCCTTGGTTTTTGGCACCTGACAAGAGGAAAGAGTAATCACCAAATCGGTTACGTAGTAAGCCTTTATTTATTTAGAAAAATTCATATGTCTGCCTGAACTCATTCATAGTGACCACAGATGGCTTACAGCAGGGCTGTCAAACTCATAGCCCGCAGGCCAGATGCATCACACACTGCCCAGGCCCAGGCCAGTTTAGCGAAGGGGAGAAAAAGTCACGATATGTCATGTGACAACACCGTGACGACGCAAGTTTGACACCCCGGCTTACAGAAATAAAATCCCAAATACAAATCCCAACAACCCCCCACTCCTTGAATCAAAAGCCTTGTTCAAGCATTACATTAAGTCATGGTGTGTGTGTGTGTGTGTGTGTGTGTGTGTGTGTGTGTGTGTGTGTAAAAGATGAGGAAACGAGCAGTTTAGCTCATCAGGAGTCCTGGTGACGCAGGGGCTAGAATGCAGTACTGCAGGCTAACTCTGTTGACTGCCAGGAGTTCAATCCTGACCAGGCTCAAGGATTGACTTGGCCTTCCATCCTTCCGAGGTTGGTAAAATGAGAACCCAGATTTTTGGGGACAAGAGGCTGACTCTGTAAACTGCTTAGCGTGGGCTGTAAAGCACCGTGAAGCGATATGTAAGTCTAAGCGCTATTGCATATTGCTACTAGCTCCAAAAAGCTAGTCCTGTTACCCTAATCTAATTCTCCCTCCAAAATTGGGTCCATAAAATTCATTCCCACCACTTCCAGCGATGTCCACAGAAGAACTTGAAAGCCATCCTGCCTTCCTTTCCACCAACCCTTCCTATGTTGTCCATCTTTGCTATAACCCACATCTCACAAGCCACAAAGGACTAGTTTCACACAATACCCCAGGGTCAAATTTTCATGCAAATTACACGTAGACTTTGCCCAGTGTGCAAGTCTACTCAAAGGCAATTGTGTGGGATGGAATGAGATGGAAGTCTCTTGTTGACCCCCCAAACCTACTTCTCTGCGTCACCAAATCCTACAAATGGAAAGGAATTCCTGCAGCTGTCCAGTCCAACCTTCGACTCAATGCAGAGTCCAAAGTAAAGAATCTTAATCAAGGCAGATGTAGCCTCTCCTTGTGACTGAGTCACTGGTTTCATTGTTCCTTGTTATGCTACTATCGTGTTGAAACCAAGGAAGCACTTATGGCTATCCTGTTTACAGATACACCAAGAGGAAAATGGTGATTTGGTTGTAAGGAGTTCTAGGGGATTTCCTACTCACACAACCTGCCCCACCCACTACCACCCACATAGTTTAGGCTTCAAGTATTTGTAGTGTCAGGAAGTTGAACACCACATTACCCCTGCCTTCCATTGGTTGCTAGAAGAGGGTCTCCCAACCTTGGCCACTTTAAGCCACATGGACTTCATGGCTGGCTGGAGAATTCTGGGAGTTGGAAGTCCACGTCTCTCCTAAAGTGGCCAAGGTTGGGAAAACCTGCTGTAGGAAAGATTAAATTTTCCTTCCTAAAATTGCCAGAACTTTCCTGCTTGAGGATTCTGGGAAATGAATTCTAATAAATCTGGGAGCACTAAGCTGGGGAAGACTGGACTTTCCACATAAGAAAATGCCTGGGATTTTAAGACAGAACTATTTTTGTTAGGCATAATACTAGAAAAATATGGATAAAAGGAATGTATATTATCAAATATACATTACATGTTTTATATATCAATTACATGTTTTTTATATATCATTACATGTTTTTCAAATATCACTTACATGTTTTAACAGCAGCAAGAATTGTGTTTGTGCAACATTGGAAAAGCGAAGCAACACCCATGGAAGAACATATAATTAAAAAAAATGGACTGTGAAGAAGTGGACAGATTAACACTGAAGATAGAAGAAAAAGACACAGAATATTTTCGGACTTGGGACTTGTTTTACCAATGGTTGGACATCAGAGGTAGAAATTAGGAATTTAAGAAGTATTACTATGTAAACGAATGGACTTAGCAGTATGATGTTCATTAAGCACATATACTATGTAAAGAGAAAACCAAATAAAAGAAGTCCCAGACGATCAGCTGGGACTCGGGAGGCAGAGAATAGATGGTGACAGGGCCAGTCAAAGGTGATATTTGCCGGTTCTCTGACCTATTCAAAATTTCCACTACTGGTTCTCCAGAACCAGTCAGAACCTGCTGCATCCCACCTCTGTATATACACACACACACACACACAAAGCAGAAACAGCATGGCCAGGGGTTTGACCCACTCACATTTAGAAGGGATATAATCGGCGTACGTTTCTGTGTGACCCAGTTCCTCTGTTTCATCATCGTCGCCCTCCTCTTCCTCTTCTACCTGAGTTTGGGACTGAAATGGAATGAAAAACAGAAATGTCAGACAGGCGAGTAGCAAAGGGGCAACAGAGCAGGCGTGTGGTCCATTAGTGATGCTCCCAGAATCAGAGGTGGAGATACGGGAGGGTTAGCATTTGGATAGAGATTGAGAGGGAGTGGGGTCAAGTGGGAAACAGCTGTGACTACATAGTCACAACAGGACAAAGTCCAATTCCCCTTGATGGCCGTTCAATCTTACCTAGTTTTACCCAGGCGCAAAGTGTTAGTCCGAGAGGGTTCCTGTATGTGGGCTTGAGCAATAAAATAATAAATTGAAACCTTCACAGGTGGACCTGATTGTTCATGCCTGACATTATTTAAATTAGATTCTCAATAGAACATTCATGTTGTCTCAGCAGCTGTTGGTTTTAAGACATATGTTGATGGGCTTTTAATAAAATATAGGAAGTGGGAAAGAATACACGCGATGTGGTTATTACTCTCTGAACTGTATAACCCAAAGCACCAGGAAACCTATTGTTGGAAAGTCTTCTATTAAGGAACTGTAAATATGATTATTCCTCATATCGAGAAGGAATCAAGAAGGAAATATCATGCTTGTTCTATTATTATGTTGCTGTTGTTGGTTCCACAGTCAGCCAGATATTTAGACTGGATTTGGCATTTTTATCCACTCATTGAGTCCTTCCCAAGCATCTGGGATAGGCAGTTATATTTTATATTTTATATGATATTATATATTAAATATTTTATATTATTATTGTATATTATATATATTATGGTGTTAAAGGTATTGTTGTGGGATGTAAGCTGTTCTGAGTAAAGCTGCCTTTTGCAATTGACTAAGGGGGATTTTGTCAATGCCAATGGTGTTCAAATAGCGCTCCAGGTGTTTTGGGACTGCACACAAGGCATCGATCACTACCTTTGCTTTCTTTTGCCACAGTTGTATTTCTATTTGCTGATTAATGACCACAATTATTTCATTTGATTTTCTGTTACATATCTTTAAATTTTCTGATTTTCTCCAGGTTTTTTTTCTCTTCTCTTCTGCTATTTACATGTCCAGTATCTGCTGCGATGTCCACTATCCTGACTTTCTTGCCCTTCTTCTCAACAATTGTTAAGTCTGGTGTGTTGTGTGTCAGGTACTTGTCTATTTGCATCCCAAACTCCCAGAGCAGTTTAACTACTTCATTTTCTTTTTTTATTTCCTCTATTTTTGTGGTCCCATAGTTCTTCCTTGCAGGTAAATTTCTCACAGATCTTCCAATGCACCCGTTGTGGTTACTTTGTCAGGCCATTGTTTGCAGTCGGTCTGTGTAATCTTCTAGCAGCTGCTAATCAAGTAGTTTGCAATGGCAGTACTTGTTGTCTGTTGCCTTCTTCTCATTTCATCTGTATGCATTTGTTCTTAAGGCTTGGTCATTTGCAGCCAAACTTAGCCTCTGTCCTCTCTTCAACATTCCTGCTCTTAACAATTGTCAGTTCTTTTTGTTATTTCTTTGGCCTTCAATTGTGTTTTGTGTGTGTCTTTGTGTGCTGGCCATCTAATCCTTTGCCTTTCCATGTCCCTTTTTATTCTTCATTATTTCTTCTTCTCCTTCTCCTCCTCCTCCTCCTTCCATATCCACCATCGGATGTTGGTGATCATGTTGGCGATCCTATTTTTATCAACAGCCACACAAAAAAGTGTTGCTGAGTTTTATCCAAACCAGTTCCGTAGGTTTTGAAGCCATGTTGTTCTTCTTTTGCCTGGATCTCATTTGCCTTCAATCTTTCCCTGGAGGATGAAGTGAAGTATGCCGTATTTTTCCGGGTGTCGCATCACATGTCTGAAATATTCTAACTTTGGCTTTTTAATGGTTTTGATGATTTCCCTTGGCATTCCCAGGCGGCTTATCACCTTCTCATTTCTGATTTTGTCAACCCAGCTTATACATAACAGCCATCTGTAAATCCACATTTCAAATGCTTCTAGTCTCTAGTTCAAGTGGCTTTCTGTCAGAGACCAACTCTCCACTCTGTAGAGCAGGACAGAAAAGATGTAACCTCTGACAAGCCTGATTTTCAATCTTGGGCTTATGTCGTGACTGCAGAAGACCTTTTTCATTTTCAAGAATGCTTTGCGAGCTTTCTCCATCCTTGTATTTACTTCAGCGGTCTTGCCTCAGCTTTCATGTAAATTAGAACCAAGGTACATGATCCTTTCAACTTTTTCTAGCGGTAATTCTTCACTGAGTCTTTCTTATAGACTACAACCATCGGCATTGACAAAACCGCCATCAGTCAATTGCAAAAGGCAGCTTTACTTGAAACAGTTTAGGTCCTGACATTTAACATCATCAAATATCCATATCCATCTCAGGTCCTTGGGAAGGACTCCATAGTTGAATAAAAATGCCAAAGACAATCAGTCTGGATGTGGCTGACTGCATTCAACCATAATACAAGTAGTCCTCGACTTACAACCATAACTGAGCCCAAGATTTCTACTGCTAAGTGGGACAATTTGTTAAGTGAGTTTTGGCTGCATTTTACAACCTTCCTTGCCACAGTTGTTAAAGAATTCACTGCAGTTACTAAGTAAAATGGTTGTTAAATGAATCTGGCTTCCCCGTTGACTTTGCCTGTCAGAAGGTTGTAAAATCACATGACCCTGGGACACTGCAGCTGTCATAAATACGAGTCCGTTGCCAACTGTCTGGATTTTGATCATGGGAATGCCACCACGGTTGTGTGAAAAACGATCGTAAGTCACTTTTTTCGGTGCTGTTGTAACTTGGAGTGGTCACGGAATGAATTATTGTAAGTCAAGGACTACCTGCCCTAATGATGGGCCTGCCTTCATTACCTTTATTACCTGGATGCTTGAAAGACGAGGGATGTCCTGAGTGGCAGTGATGTGGTTTTCTATTCCCTGTAAGCCTTCCAGGCTTTCCAAGTGGGGAGGCAAGGCCTGAACAGAAAAGGAAATATGGACATTAGAACCCAGTTAAGAGCCAATCCCAGACAACCTTATTGGGGTGCAGAAGCTAATTTTGTTAATCAATGGATGGGAAAGTACCAGAGACCTTCAGGGTTTATCTACCTAGATTGAGAATTGGGGGTTTCTTACACGCCTTTGCTGGTTTGTTTGTTTTTTCTCTCTGTGATTGTCTATTTCAGTTGGATATTTGGGGGTGCTATAGCTGCTCTGAGGTCAGAAAGGCATATATGCACCCCTAGAATTCTTGGGTCAGGGGTTTAAAAAAAAACCTCCCAAGAGCCCTCCCTCCTGAGAGCATCCCACAAAAGGCTGAATGAACTAATGATTCAACAAAACAGAAAACATCTATTTATTATTATTATTATTATTATTATTATTATTATTATTATTATTATT